AAAAAAAACACTCCGGGTGTTGGCGCATACTAGCTGGTCGTGCTGCTTTTTGGGACTAGGGGCAGCACTACACCAAAAACAAATAGTGAAAGGGAAACTAGTAAATGGGCCAGTTTGTTTCATTTCCAGACAGCTCAAAGACAGTGAGAAGCGGTACGGAGCACCACAGTTAGAATGTTTAGCTTTAGTATGGGCACTCAACAAACTCCATTATTACTTGGACGGGATCTATTTTGAGGTTATTACTGATTGCCAGGCAATAAAATCTCTCTTGAATACGAAAACTCCGACCAGGCACATGCTGCGGTGGCAGATGGCCATCCAAGAGTATAAATCCTACATGACAATAACGCATAGACCAGGCATATTACACAGCAACGCTGACGCTCTTAGTCGTATGGCGATGCCAAATGATTCGAATAATCCTGCGTGGGAAGCAGAAGACGAGAATCGAGACATACCAGTCATGGGCCTGAGCTTAAGTGAACTCTCAGACGAATTTTTTCAACAAATAGAAGACAGCTATAAGCTTAACCCAAATACCTTGACTCTGACGAAAATTTTAAGTTTAGAACATCGGGACAGCGCCTTGGAAAGCACATTGGAACCAGAATGGAAAGAACCTTTCACAGAAGGAAAGTTCGCCATGATATCAGGCCTAATCTACTATAAAGAGAAACATACCAACGTCCTAGTCGTCTGTGATACAGATAGTATACAACAATTGCTAGCCGTCTGTCACGACGATTTTATGTCAGGTCACTTGAGCGAAGACAGAGTAATTCACCGCATGAGTTCGACAGCCTGGTGGCCTGGATGGAAACAAGACGTGCAACAGTACATTGAATCATGCGAGAGATGCCAAAAAGCGAATCGCCAGACGGGCAAAAGGTTTGGTTTACTCCAGAGAATAGAAGAACCCAAATTTCCATGGGAAGTAATTAACATGGATTTCGTGACTGGATTACCACCAGCAGGACATGATAATGCAAACAGCGTATTAGTGGTAGTCGACAGATTCTCTCGAAGGGCACGGTTTATTCCCTGCCATAAAGAAATAGACGCAACAGGGACTGCGCTACTCTTTTGGCAGTACATCATCACAGATAGCGGACTGCCAAGAGTAATTATAAGCGACCGGGATCCAAAATTCACGTCGGAATTTTGGAAAGGTTTAATGAAACTTATGGGTACCACGCTAGCGATGTCTACAGCATACCACCCCCAAACGGACGGATTAGCTGAAAGGATGATACAAACTTTCGAGGACATGCTTAGGAGATACTGTGCATTTGGACTATCATTTAAAGACAAGGACGGCTATACGCACGACTGGCGAACACTTTTGCCGGCCCTTGAATTAGCGTATAACACGAGTCTACACAGCACGACAGGCAAGACACCTTTCGAGATTGAGAGAGGATATAACCCTCGGACGCCTAAAGATATGGTAAAAGACAAATCTGTCCAAGTTCATCCAACATCGCTCAGCTTTCACGATATGTTATCGAGGGCTAGAGGACACGCTGGGAATTGTATAGAAGACGCAGTCAAGTATAACAAGAACCGGTGGGATAAGACCCACAAGGAGCCAGAGTTTATGGTTGGGGACAAAGTACTGGTTTCTACGGTAAACTTCAACAACATACAAGGTCCACGAAAACTAAAAGACGCCTTCGTGGGACCTTTCACAGTGATCAGATTACACGGCCCCAATGCAGTAGAAGTGTTGCTGACAGGTGATTTCGCCCGAAAACATCCTACGTTCCCGGTGTCATTACTAAAACACTTCAAAGAAGCAGAACCAGGGAAATTTTCGAGACGGGCACCTTTAGAGGAAGTAGTTCCATTCGACGACGAATCGCCTAAGGAAGTACTTAAAGTACTAGAACAAAAGAGAGTGAAACTCGCAGGAAAAGATGTGAGATTATATTTAGTCAGGTACAAAGGAAAACCTTTGGACCAAGATGAATGGCTTCCAGAGGACAAAATAGCCAATTCTTCACAAGTACTGAGAAGGTTCAGAGTAGAAAAGAAAAATCCTTCGTAACTTTTTCTTTTTTTCCGACCCCGGTGAGTGTCAACAGTGAGAAGTTTTGCGGAGAAAAACTTCCATTGTAATGACAAACTACCACAAAGAACTAAGTCCTTAGAACATAAATAACAAACAAATTAAAAAACATATATAACAAAATTACACCGCTTTAAAACTCAGTTTCAAGAGTTTAATCAATAAAAACGAAAACCAAAAAGACATCTATTTCGAAAAAGGTCTTTTTTACCTTGTAACTAAGGACACCAAAAATCTCAAATTGGACTAGTTAGGGTTCTCGTATCCAACGAAAGAACCCTGCCCAGCCAAAGAAAACTAATAATCAACCTAGCCCTTATTCGAATAATGAAATAAGGGCAAGGCGGAAGTTTTTACCAAAGCTTGAGCGACACTGCTTTACAGCCTTCTCAAGCTAAGGAAAACTCTATATATACTATAACCTCTGCCTAAAGGAAAAGAGGGATTATTCGAAAATAAAACACATAAAAATCTTTACATTTTACTTTTCTTATAAGAAAACAAAATTTACCTTTAACTTCTCCTCTACCTTTGCTCAAGCTCAAAACTAGTTCAAATCATAAGAAATCTTATCTTAGGCTTCTCGTTATTAAACTTATCTTGCTCGAACAAAACCTTTTCCCTTCTATCTTCTTCTTTAAAGGAAACTCTTGTTGCAGATCAACCTGATAGTTCTCGTTGACCAACCTCCTTTAGATTAGAATCAATTTTTCGATAAACTATTATTGAAA